TGTGGACGATGTGGTGTATGGAAATTGAAACCTGCAGTTGAATCCAATGTTTATTGTGGAACCTTAATAGGGTGTTTTGGTTTGAGGAATAATTTGATTCAAGATGAGGTGATGCATCATGCGTCTATTCGTTAAATTTTGTGGAATGACTTAGTTTCTCATATTAGTAGTAATTATTAGCTTAGCTTAGCCGGTGAAAAATTAGATGGTAATGAATGAATTCATTCCATAAATTAAATAAAAAAGTGAATTGAAAAGATGTACTAGTTCATTTGTCAAACAAAACACAACGCTAAGGCTCTCTACTGAGCGTTCGGCCGGCCGAACGGGACGGACCCGCCTGCCCCCGCGCCTTGCACGCCCCACCCGTACGCCTCGCGCTACTCTCACCTCGGGTCGCCCGTGTCGCATGTTGCTTACACCTCGCCCTGCGCTCCGCCAAACCTCGTGCCTCCCGCCCAGACTCGTGCTGCGCACAGTCGAGATCCAACCTCTACGCCGTGGCATCGAGCTCCATGCCGGTGTCAAGCTCCGCGTCAACGAGCATCCATTGGGTGGACGCAAATAGATGAGCACATGTTGCAACCGTATGTTTTATATGTTTTAGATGTATGTTGCATATGTTTCATCTGAATGTTACAAAAGTAAATTTGGTATTGCATATTTGCAATGAGTATACACGTATATTGCAAAGTGTATGTTTCAGCTGATTCAAATGTATGTTGCAAGTGTTTTATCTGGATGTTGCATATATTGCATTGGCTATATATGTATGTTGCATGTGTATGTTTCAAATATTTCAGCTATTTCAAACGTATGTTGCAAGTGTTTTATCTTGATGTTGCATATGTTACAGTGCTTATACACATATTATGTTGCTTGAGTTATTTTTCAGCCATGGAAAAGTGTTTTTCTCTCACAATATTTCAGCATAAGCCAAATTTCAGCATAAGCGAACAAGGTGATAATGTTGCAAACGTATGTTTTAAATGTTTCATCTGTTTCAGATGTATGTTGCAGCAAATGCTTTTATGTTGCAAGTGTTTCATGAGCAAGCGCGGCAAGGGGCACAGGTGAAGGTGGCCCCTAGGGACTACGTGCACGCGGGAAGCGAAGCGGGCGCGGAGCACGAAGTTGTATCCATAGATGGCAGCAGGCGCGGAGCACGAAGCTACGTCCATAGGCGGGCAGCAGGCGCGGAGCATGAAGCTACATCCATGGACAGACAGCAGACGCAGAGCACGAGACTACATCCATAAACGCCTGAGGGTATCATTATTAAAAATGGGCGGGCAGCAGCCGTGGATGCTAGTCCCTCCGATAAATCATCAATCTCCACAGAACAATCAGCAGCAACAAAGCCTCGCTGTCCGAGGGCGTGCCATTCTAAAACTGATGACCGACCTGAAGATTATATATTACACTAGCAGGTAACCCCGCGCTTCGTGCGGGCAACAGTGGACGCTGTGAGGATGGGAAAAAATCCTTATCGGGTCGGGTACTGTTCATCCGATCCGTTACTGTTCATTAATATATAAACATTAATATTCATTTTATCAAACTTAACACCGGTTTGACTTGTACTAATCCCTTACTGGATCGGGAAGAGTACAGTACGTATTGTGGCTGCAGATGTAGCCTCGCAGGTCCCCACTAATATTGATATATACTTCATCCGTTCCAATTTATAATTCGTTTGATTTTTTTATTCCAAATTTGACCACCAGTCTTACTTAAAGAATTTGTGTAAACATAATCAAATTTAAGTCATTCTTAAAGAACTGTTGTTAATAAAGCAAGCCATAGTAGAAGAAGTGATATTTAGCACAAGTTTTTGATAAGACGAGTGGTTAGATTTAGGATAAAAAAAAGTCAAACGAACTATAATTTAGAATATATTTAGTTAGTAGTATAATTGATTGATTTTTGAAACGTACCGATCGAGATCCGAACCCTTGGAATAAATAAACAGTTGCGGATGTCGCGTAGCTGGAGTCAAATCTATTAACTGCTGGCACTCTGGCAGTGGCACGCACGACACGTTCTTTTCGCCCGGTGAGCTTCACCGGATGTGGAGAAGAGCTGGGAGGTGCCGATGTGCCGGGACCCAGAAACTCAGGAGGTGGTTTGAACTTATTAGTCGAGTTATCAGCAAACATTTTTTTTAATAATAAAACAGTTTCAATTAATTTATTAATTAATTTTAATACTAGCTGAACAGAGCGTGGGCTGAGGAGTGGGTCGCCCCTCGCCCCTGTCGCTCGGCCCAGGCATGGCCACGTTTACCGGGCCGGCCGTGCGCGGCGGCGTGGGGAAAGGGAGCCAGGGTGAGGAGAGGGATGTGTCGGTTCCTGGGATCGGAACGGGTCCACGTGGCGTTGCACTGCCAAGGTGGCGCTGGCGCATTCCCTCGGTCGTTGTGGCCCCACGTACTGTACTACGGCTGAACGATTCCATCCCATCGTTCGTCGGTGTACGTCCTGATGTGATCCTCTTGTCCGAGGAATCGTGGCACCGCGATGGACAATCACTCCTCAGCGACGGCTTATCAGTTATTATATATATATATATTTTTCGAATAATAAATCAGCATCGAACTTATCAACTTAAAAATCAATCAGCGAATATGCTTATATTGCGACCGTGATACCGGCGCTTATTAAAATGAAAACCGATTAAAGGTACTCTCAGACCGTGGCGGATCTAAAAACGAGGCAATAAGGAAGCTGGGCACGTGCCCGAGTGAGGCTGGGCCTTCTATATCAAAGCTTTTGTGGGTTGTTCAGTGAGGGAGAAAAATTAGAAGTAGTACAGTCACTTTATCCTCTCTCCCGTCGTCCTAAGTACACATATATCCCTCCTTGCAAAAAAAAAAGTACATGTACATGTACACCCCTACTTTCATATATCTATCTATACCTAATTAATACTAAAAAAAACGAAAGTTACTTCTTCAAAACAAAAAATCATTGCAAAACCCAGCCAAGCCCAAGCCCATGTGTGTCGTGATTTGGCACACGCACATGTGACTAGCCTTTCACATTTTTAACCTCTCAAGAGGTTTAGACAACAGATAGGAATCCACGCGGCGGATCACGTGCTAACGCCCTAATCACCGGATAGGAATCCGCACGGATCATCACGTGCCAACAGTGTGGTACTTATGCAAACTGCAGGTCATGCTAAATTTACACGCGTGTCCCTATTCATTATTAAGGCATGTTTGGATTTTCAAGTCTAAATTTAAATCATTTTATCTTACTTGTGTGGTCTAAAATATTTATAAAAATTAGCTAAACTTTCAAAAATACTTTATACTTTATATAGTTACACCCTCTCTTTAGAGCCTTTATAAGAGAGAAAGAGATCTAAAGTTCAGCGGCTAAATTTTAATAAATCATGAAATATCTAAACTATGAAATCCAAACAAAGCGTTATTGTATCGATTGAGTCAAATAATCACCATGTTCACTGATGGGTACTGGTGCTATTTTTTTTTAGAAAAACACTATTGACTAGCAGGTGAATGTAACGATCCGATCCGATCCGATCCGATCTGATCGCCTTGAAACAGTTGTGGACGTCACGTACAGTAACCGGAGTCCCGTCAGCAGCGGCTGGCACGCACGGCACGTTTCGGGCGGCGAGCTTCACCGGGTGGGAGCTGGGAGTGGGAGGTGCCCGGACCGGACCAGCAGCAGGATTTGCCGCTCCGACGTCTCCGCTACGCAGCAGCGTGCCCCGACGCCACGCGGCCCTGTCGCCGCTCGGCCCAGGCACTGCCACGCCGCCGTCTGGCGTCCGGCCGTCGGGGAGCCTCCGCCCTTGCGAGGCGGCCAGCAGGCCGCAGGCGGGAGGCAGGGAGAGGGACGTGGCGTCGCTTCCTGGGATCGCGTGGTGGGTGGGACCGGCCGGGAGGCACGTGGGCACGTGGCGCTGCCAAGGTCGCGCATGCGCACCTGCCATCTCTCATCTCGTTTTTGCTCCACGTACGGTACGGCGCGGCCATGCGTTGTCTTGGCCGCAAGGCACGCCGCACGTATACATCACACTTCCGCGTCTACATACATAGTACCAAAATGAAATCGGTATAACAAAAAAAAAAAGAAGCACTTTCAGACACAAATTCATCAATCAATATACTAAAACCACGAATCCCATGGCTAATTTTTCTAAGCATTGGGACCGATGTTGTATTATTCTACTCCTCCTCTTAAATGCACAAAATCTATATGATGTACATAGCACGGTCCCAAAAGCGACCCGAAATGGATATTCCCTGCACGAAAAAGCTAAAAGCAATGTATTTTAGCAATTGGATCCTAGTCATGCGTGTAATTTTGTCAAAAATTCTCTAGCTTGTGAATTGAATATATATATGAACCCCGAGTTTCCCTATTAATAAAAGCACCGGTTGTCCACACTTAAAAAAAAAGAAAAAATGTTGGACTGGATACCACCGGCGACTTGACTCGAACGACTATGATGGGTTCTGTACGTATACACGTATCGTACATCTTTGTCACTAGTTATTCGGCTGCAAATACGACCACAACATTGTCGCCGTCTGATGAATGGAACGAAAAAAATAATAATAGAGAAAAATACAGAACCAGTAGTTACTGCTCCTGTCTATCTCTACACGGGAAAAAGGGAAAAAGAAAAAAAGGCCAACGACCCGGGCCCACAACCGCGCTACGCGTAACCGGCTAACCGACCGCTCTTCCGCGCGATAAGCGAGCCGGTGACCCAACCTCCTCCCCCCCTGTTTGTCTGCCTCCCCTCCTCTGCTCGCTCTCTCGCCGTTCGCCGTCGCCACCACCTCCTCCTCCTCCTCCCCACCCGCCATAAAACCCAACCGCTCCCAACCCACTCCACATTGCCTCCTCTGGTAGACTGGTACATCGTACATACAACCGCCGCCCGCCGCCATCCCTTAGACTCTCTCCTCGCCCCACCCCTCCCTCCCCTCGGGCCCTCCGTCCGCGCGGAAGAACGGAATGGCGTCGTCCACGGCCTCGCTCGCCCCCGCGGCCGCGATGCTGGAGCGGCTGGGCCTCCGCGTCGCGCCCACCGACGCCGCCGCGGACGACCACCACCAGGCCGTCCCGGGGCTCCTCCCGCTGTGCTGCGCCGTGCAGCACTACGAGTGGGGCCGCCGCGGCGCCGACTCCCTCGTCGCGCGCCTCGCCGGCGAGGGCGGCGAGGACGGAGGACGGCCCTGCGCCGAGCTCTGGATGGGCACGCACCCGGCCGCGCCATCCTCGCTCGCGCCCGACGTCTCGCTCCGCGACTGGGTCGCGCGTAACCCCGCCGCGCTCGGCCGCGACGTCGCCGCGCGATGGGGCGGCGACCTTCCCTTCCTCTTCAAGGTCCGTGACGTGGCCTCCGCAATTCCCCTTCCTTCTCCCGTGTCCCTTAAAAAAAAAAGAACTTTTTTTTTCCTGTCCGCGCGCTGACCGCTCCGTCTCCTTCGCAGGTGCTGTCGGTGGCGAAGGCGCTGTCGATCCAGGCGCACCCGGACCGGGAGCTCGCCGCGGCGCTGCACGCGCTGCGCCCGGCCACGTACCGCGACGCCAACCACAAGCCCGAGATGGCCGTCGCCGTCACCGAGTTCCACGCGCTCTGCGGCTTCGCCGCCACACAGGTACGTTGTACCCACGTACGGTCGCCACGACGACGACGACGACGGCCGTTGTGCCCCCGCGCGACGTGCCGCTGGTTAACGGCCCAGAAAATTTCATTTTTTTTTGGTTCCCAACCAATCCGCGGTGACGTTGACTTGGAGCTTTGGATGGCATCAGCTGATGCCACCGGCTGCTAAATTGGTTGGTTCGTTTGGCTTAGTTGCGTTCTTTAATCGAACGTGGCAGCAGGATCCCGCAGATGATTCCGGATAGTTAGGTGGGTGGAGTTGACTGACGGTCAGGTGGGGTGGGATCTCCTCGGCTGCTGCTAGCTGCTCATGGGTTTGATCATTATGCCAATACTTAATCGCATTCATAAGTAGTAAATGAATTAATCAATTATGTGAATAATTAATCGCATTCTTGACAGGCAATTGAATTTGGTAGTAAGATATACCAGTAATTAATGGCATAGAACAATCGATTGGATCCTCTGAACATTTTTATTCTTGTTCTGAGTTAATGGCAGTCTGTCAGTAGAGGTTTATAAACAAGTTAGTATGCACATGCTGGTTAATCGCACGCCTTTCGTGAGGTTTTGAGCTTCTGACTGTGTGGCCTTAGTTCCACGACAAGTCATACTGTCCACTAAAGCCGTTCTAGATACACATGTCATACCCCGTGGCCAATGGTATCTTAGCTGGTGGGTCGTGATACACAGCTCCTGTCCACATCACATCCAGCGGTGCTCATGAAAAGTGCTTGCTAGTTTGGTGGGTGGGAGGCGTTTGCAGGATGGCAAAAGAGCATAGTGTGGTGTCATTATCACTGACTTTTCTATGACACATTCCATAATGAACAAATTAGATCACCAAGTTCAGATTGATCCTTGAGATATTTTGAAGATGTTCCTTTTTTTTCCGACTAATAATAGGTTAGGCAGTAAGGGACAGTGAAGTGGTTACTGCATACTATATTCTGGGAGATATTCGGTTTACATGATCGTCATATTATCTCTTTTTGATAGCTGTGAATTCTGTTGTTTGAATCCATTGCATTCCATCCAGAAGGGAATACGAAGTGTTCAAGACATTCAAATTTTCAGCAGATCATCAGTGTGAGCTATGCATATTAGTTACTGACTTATTTATACTGATGTCCAGGAGCTCAAGGAAGTATTGAGGACTGTACCCGAGGTTCAGGAATTAGTTGGCAAAGAAGAATCTCGGAAGCTTTTGGGTGTCAAAGAGCAAGATGGGGGGATTGGTGTGAGGTCGTATCTGAATTCAGCTTTCACCAAGTTAATGACAGCGAGTGACGAAGCAGTTTCTGAAGCAATTGCAAACCTTAGGACTCGCTTGAACAGTGAGAGCAAGGTAAAGATCTTTTCTGAACAATTCTTGCTGTATCCGTATTATGTCATCTGAGTTACTTGTGTAATCCCTGAGATTGATGGCAGTGATTTTCCTGCTGTGGTGCTCTACTTTGATCCAGTTTATATCTTTTTTACATTCTTAGGGGGTTGAAAGATTTTTTTTAGCTATATAAGCAAATATGGTTGAACGTAGCCAACAAAGTAATATTTATGCTTACTGAATATATAGTCATTTAGTGGTGCGAATGAAACAATTTGTTGCTTGTAGTTCTGAACATAAAACTAATGGAAGTCCCAAGTATTCTTGAAAAACATGGAATCAATACAAATTGTGGAATATTATTAGCCTTTTCATCCATCCTTGCCTGCTTTTGAGGACATCTTCTAGATATCTCTTATGAATTTTTTCCATTACATATATGAAATAACTTCAGAAATGAGAAGCCTGTGGAGGTAGAATAGTCCTTTGTGCTATGTTATCTTCATCCTCTTTACCAGGGGTCAATTACATCATCTGTTCTGCTACTTCCATCTTGTTGTTTATGGCACTGCTCATCTGTAAGGCAGGGTGAGGGCATGACTTATATAAAGTGGAGAGAAATATAATGTTTGTTTGAAGAAATAATTCATGAAATTTGTTATGGCTAATCTAATACTCTGTCTAATTCATCCTGATGATGCTTCCATGTATTCAGGCTAGAAGTTTAACACAGAAGGAGCAACTTGTTTTGTCATTGGAGAAGCAGTACCCAGGAGATGTTGGTGTGCTGGCAGCGTTCTTCCTAAATTTTGTTAAGCTAAATCCTGGTGAAGCACTTTATGTTAGTGCCAACGAACCTCATGCATATCTCTCAGGGGAGTGCATCGAATGTATGGCCACTTCAGACAACGTTGTCCGTGCAGGTCTAACTCCGAAATACAGAGATGTGCAAACTCTCTGCTCGATGTTGACTTATAATCAGGTCAGTTGTTTTACTCCCTCCATTTGTTTACATTCTCCATTTGTTATCACTACCAGCTTATAATCCCCCATTATTGTTGATGATGAAATGTGATTGCTCAAAACATGGGGAGTTTGATTACAATCAGTCTTAGTTAAGATAGTCTAATGAATGATGTTTCTTTCGCATGTAACTTACATATCTTCCCTGAAACATGTTGCTGCAGAGGTAATAAGGTTTTTATTTTCTACATGCAGGCCTTCCCAGAAATTTTGCAAGGAATGCCTGTACAGCCTTATGTGACTCGTTACACCCCATCAACTGACGAATTTGAAGTTGACCGCTACTTGCTACCTCCTGGCAAATCAGTCACCATGTCTCCGGTGCCTGGTCCATCCATATTCATCGTCATGACAGGAGAAGGAGAAATCCAGGCAGGCTTCATGACTGACAGCGCAAAGGCAAAGGAAGGTGACGTTTTCTTTGTGCCGGCTCACACCAAGGTCAAGCTCTACACTTCGTCCCCCAGGTCCATGCAGCTGTACAGGGCTGGGGTAAACAGCAGTTTCCTGAGTTGATGGATAACTGGTTTCTAGGGTTGGCATCTGTAGGTTAGGTACCAGCTACACAAGAAATTTTCATGTTATACACTTGTTCAAAAGTTAGTTAATTAGGTGGGTTATCATAGTGTATAGGAAAGATGGAGAATAAGTTCACTTCATATCATTTTTATTTTTCTAAAATGTTGTATTACATTTTCAAATATCCAGTGACCTGCTGGGATCACAAATGGATATGTAATTGAGTTCAAAGTTGAATATACCTTTTGTGTCCGTGAAAAAAATGTATGTTGGCTTATAGAAGTGTAGAAATGAATTAATTCTAGATGGCAAATACCATGGACCCCATTAAAGCCTCAATTCCATGAGCAGTCACGGCCTTGAATGATCGAGAAAAAGACCCATTGAGACTCTGTTTGAAGCTCAAGGCTAGAAAGGTGTGATGTATCCTGAAACAAATTCCTGTTGCTTCGTACCTGAAATAGGTGAAGAAACTTGGTATGCATTTGATAAACTAATTGTTAAGTTATTCCTCAGCATGCCTAGTCTACAAAGATGAGCATGAAACATCATTTGTATGCATCTGATAAGCACTGAATGGATGAACATGAAACAACATTTGTATGCATCTGATTAGAAGAAATACATTCTGTGAACATTGAGATTGATAGCTATATAGAAGAGTTTACAATTGAGACCTGTAGTGTTCCAACTTTATATAGACCTATAGTGTTCCAACTTTAGGGACAAAATTGTTCAGATAGAAATTTGAGATGTTGAAGGCTGAGAAACAATTAGTGACAACATTGTTCAGATAGAAATTTGAGAAGTTGAAGGAAACTGAGAAGAAAGTAGGTAATTCCAAAGAAAACTAAAAAGAAAGTAGAGAGTTTCTGAGGAAGCTGTGCCTTAAAGTAAAGGGTTTTTGTTGCTGATGCTTTGACGGCCATTGTTTAGCAAGTTCGTGATGTTATCACTATTCATGTCTGCTTGAGTCATAGTGTTGCTTATTTTCAAATTGCCGGTGTTCTTGTAATGTAACCTTTCTCTCTGAGCTTGAGCTTGAACTTGATCAATGACAACAATCAATGGGGTGTTCAGTAAAAACTGTATTTTACCTTTACAAATTAAATGAGTCGTACTTGAGTGAAATTGACTTGTTGCGAAGTCCGATTCTCTGATCTTATGCAGCATCAATTGCACAACTCATTGCGAAATTGAATAACTTAAAAAGAAAAAAAAAGATTGAGATTCTCTGTTTCACCCTCTGTTCTATAAAAGTGTGCTGTACACCTGTACCTAAAAACATATTTCTGTTGCCTTGTAAATGTCTTGATCAAAACATACGTGAAGAAAAAGGCATGTATTTGAAGAACAAATTGCTGAAATTATTATTCCACATGTAAAATTTGAATGGAAGAAAATGATGCAACATCTGTATGCATCTGATCAGCAGAAGCACATTTTGTGAACGTTGAGATTGGTAGCTATATATAAAACAAATTGGCACACCCAACGTACCTCTGTTAATGGCCAAGAAAATTCTATTGCATTTTCTCCAATGTGTGGTGACGTTGACTTGGACTTTGGATGGCATTGGCTAATGCTGTTGAATTTGTTGGTTTGTTTGGTGAGTCCGATGGGTCTGCTCATGGGTGTGGTCAGTTTCAGTATGCCAATAATTAATGGCATATATAAGTAGCAGTAGTAGTAAAATGAATGAATTAGTTATGCAATTAATTAATCCGAATCATCACAATAATAGCATTTGGTAGTTATAAAGGAATATACCAGTAATTAATGGCATAGATACTCAGATTAACTGCTGAACGAACGATTGGATCCTCTGAACATTTTTATTCTTGTTCTGAGCTAGTGTCAGCAGAGGTTTATAAACAAGTAGCATGCACATGCTAGTTAATTGCACGTCTTTCGTGAGGTTCTCAACTTCTGACGATGTGGCCTTTAGTTCCTCGACAAGTTATGCTATCCAATAAAGCTGTTCTAGTGTTCCGGATATACCCTGTCCAAATCACATCCAGCCGTGCTCTTGAAAAATGGTTGCTAGTCTGGTGTAATTATCATCGATTTTTCTACGCCACATTCCATTGAATAGTCCTTTGTGCTATGTTGTCTTTATCATCTTTCCCAGGGGTTAATTACATCATTTGTTCTGCTACTTCCATTTGTAGTTTATGGCACTGCTCATCTCTAATGCAGGGTGAGGGCATGATTTATATAAAGTGGAGAGAAATATAATGTTTGAAGAAATAATTCATGAAATTTGTTCTGGCTAATCTAATACTACTGTCTAATTCATCCCGATGATGCTTCCATGTATTCAGGCTAAGTTTAGCAAAGAAGGAGCAACTTGTTTTGTCATTGGAGAAGCAGTACCCAGGAGATGTTGGTGTTCTGGCAGCGTTCTTCCTAAATTTTGTTAAGCTCAATCCTGGTGAAGCACTTTATGTTAGTGCCAACGAACCTCATGCATATCTCCCAGGGGAGTGCATCGAATGTATGGCCACTTTAGACAACCGTGCAGGTCTAACTCCGAAATACAGAGATGCGCAAACTCTCTGCTCGATGTTGACTTATAATCAGGTCAGTTGTTTTACTCCTTCCATTTGTTACATTCTCCATTTATTATCACTACAAGCTCATAATCCCCCATTATTGATCATTTGATGAGTAAATGCGATTGCTCAAAACATGTGGAGTTTGATTACAATCAGTCTTAGTTAAGATAGTCTAATGAATTATGTTGCTTTCGCATGTAACTTACATATCTTCCCTGAAACATGTTGCCACAGAGGTCATAAGGTTTTGATTTTCTACATGCAGTCCTTCCCGGAAATTAAGCAAGGAATGCCTGTACAGCCTTATGTGACTCGTTACGCCCAATCAACTGACGAATTTGAAGTTGACCGCTACTTGCTACCTCCTGGCAAATCAGTCACCATGTCTCCGGTGCCTGGTCCATCCATATTCATCGTCATGACAGGAGAAGGAGAAATCCAGGCAGGCTTCATGACTGACAGCGCAAAGGCAAAGGAAGGTGACGTTTTCTTTGTGCCGGCTCACACCAAGGTCAAGCTCTACACTTCGTCCCCCAGGTCCATGCAGCTGTACAGGGCTGGGGTAAACAGCAGTTTCCTGAGTTGATGGATAACTGGTTTCTAGTGTTGGCATCTGTAGGTTAATTAGGTACCAGCTACACAAGAAATTTTCATGTTTGATAAATACTAGTTCAAAAGTTAGTTAATTAGGTGGGTTATCATAGTGAAGATGGAGAATAAGTTCATCACTTTATATCCTGTTTATTTTTCCAAAAATGTTGTATTACATTTTCAAATATCCAGTGACCTGTTGGATCACAAATGGATCTGTAATTGAGTTCAAAGTTGAATATACCTTTTGTGTTCATGAAAAAATGGAGGATGACTTATAGAATTGTGGAAATGAATTAATTCCAGACGACAAATACCATGGACCCCATTGAAGCCTCAATTGCATGAACAATCACAACCTCAAATGATTGAGAAAAAGACCCATTGAGACTATCTGTTTCAAGCTCAAGGCCAGAAACGTGTGAAGTATCCTGAAACAAGTTTCTGTTGCTTCGTGCCTGAAATAATATGTGAAGAAACTAGGCATGCATTTGACGGAACTATTCTGAGCAAGTAATTCCTCATCATGCCATTAGTATGCATTTGATTAGCACTGCATGGATGAACATGAAACAACATTTGTATGCATCTAATCAGAAGAAATACTTCCGTGAACATTGAGATTGATAGCTATATAGATGAGTTTACAGTTGAGACTACTAGTGTTCCAACTTTATATAGACTACAGTTAGGGGCAACACTGTTCAATAGAAATTTGAGATGTGACAACATTGTTGAGATAGAAATTTGAGATGAAGGAAACTGAGAAGAAAGTAGGGAATTTCAAAGAAAAATAAAAAGAAAGTATGGATTTTTTTTGGAAACTTCAGTAAGAAGAAAATGAAAGCTTTGATAGCCATTGTTGAACAAGTTCGTGATGTTATCGCTATTCATGTCTGTAATGTAACCTCTCTCTATGCTTGAACATGATCAATAATAACAATCAATGGAGTGTTCAGTTAAAAAACTGTACTTTACCTTTGTAAATTAAATGAACTCTGTATTTGAGTTTAAAGCTCAATTTGTGTTCGTGAAAAGAAGAAGTTGACTCGTTGCAAAGTCCAATCCATTGATCCTTGACCAAGCAAAAATTGCATGACTATTGTGAACTTGAATGACTTGAAAAGAAAAAATCGATAGAGATTATCTGCTCACGCTCTGTTCTAGAAAAGTGTGCTATACCTAAAAACATATTTTTGTTGCTTTGTAAATGTCTTGATCAAAAGATTAGTGAAGAAAAAGGCATGTATTTGATGAACAAGTTGCTGAAATTATTATTCCACATGTAAAATTTGCATGGAAGAAAATGATGCAACATCTGTATGCATCTGATCAGTAGAAGCACATTCTGTGAACATTGAGATTGGTAAAACAAATTCGTGCCTGCAACGTACCGCTGTTAGTGGCCAAGAAAATTCTATTGCCTTTTCTCCAATGTGTGATGACGTTGACTTGGACTTTGGATGGCATGGCTGATGCCGACTGTTGAATTTGTTGGTTTGTTTGGCGAGTCCGATAGGTCTGCTCATGGGTGTGGTCAGTATGCCAATAATTAATGGCATATATAAGTAGTAGTAGTAAAATGAATGAATTAATTATGTGATTAATTAATCCCACTCATCACAAATAATTGCATTTGGTAGTTATATATGAGTATACCAATAATTAATGGCATAGATACTCAGATTAACTGTTGAACAAACGAGTGGATCCTCTGAACATTTTTATTCATGTTCTGAGATGGTGTCAGCAGAGGTTTATAAATAAGTAGCATACACATGCTGGTTAATCATACGCCTTTCGTGAAGTTCTCAACTTCTGACTATGTGGCCTTTAGTTCCATGACAAGTTATGCTGTCCACTAAAGCTGTTCTAATGGCCAATGGTACCTTAGCTGATGGGCCCTGGTACACACGTCCTGTCCAAATCACATCCAGCGGTGCTCTTGAAAAATGTTTGCTAGTTTGGTGGGTGGGAGGTGTTTTCAGGAGGGCAACAGAGCATAGTCTGGTGTAATTATCACCGAATTTTTATGCCACATTACATTGAATAGTCCTTTGTGCTATGTTATCTTCATCATCTTTCCCAGCGGCCAATTACATCACTTGTTCTGCTACTTCCATGTTGTGGTTTATGGCACTGCTCATCTCTATGGCAGGGTGAGGGCATGACTTGAAATTTGTTCTGGCTAATCAAATACTCTGTCTAATTCATCCTGATGATGCTTCCATGTATTCAGGATAGAAGTTTAACAAAGAGAGCGATGGCCGTGGACGCGACCCTGCGTCCAAAGCCCGTTCATGGCGTACAAGGCAGTGGCAATCCATCTTCACCAGCGCAGGTGATTGCGTCAAGATTCTGGGCACAGCCGGAGGATACCGACGACTCCGACGATGAAGATCCAGTGCACGAGGTGAGCGTGCCTTCAACACCTGAATTCGTCAAGGATGCTCTCGAAGCAGGTTTCACGGTGGATCAGTTAGCAAGAGCAGAACGTGCCTTGGCATCAGGTAACATTCCTTCATCCAGTGATCGCAGGCTTTCAAGGTCAGTGATCTCGTCATTGGTTCACAAAAAATTGGTTGGCACGCCATGGCACGGGCCTTTGCCCTCCCCTCGGGTATCTCCACCAAGAACCTTGGGAGACTTTTTTGCCAAAGCGACTTACCAGTACCGGTCAGCAAAAACGCCGGCGAGTTCAGGCTCTGTGAGTGGCAGGTCGCCCTCGACATCTCGACCAGCAAGAACGCCGGTGAGGTCGCCGGCGAGTTCAGGCTCCAGGTCGCCCTCGACGTCTCGACCGGCAAGAACGCCGGCGAGGTCAGGGTCGGCAGGTGCTGATCCTGGTTCAAAAAAATTTGAAAATTCAAATCCGCGGAATCTTGATCCGATCTTTCCTCCCTTGAACCCAGCTGAGCTACCGGTCGTAGTTACGTCCACGTGCGTCACGGGGAAAAGGTCGGACCAGAAGATTCACGAGCTGCGTGAGATTCCTAAGATAATCTCTATTGGGCCTGGAAAATTCTTTGGGCCCACGCCGGGCTTGTGTAGTCTGTTTGCGAGAACCGGAACTAGGAAACCCCAGAGACAACCGCCAAAGCATACCGCGACTTCACCCTTCGCGGAAGCAAGGCGCATCCCTAAGCCGTATCATGTGACACAGCCAACGAAAAAAATATTTTGCCGACGTTGTTTGGGAAGGAATGCCTATGGCGGCTCAGGAGGCACTACTAGAGAACAGACTTTAGAACGATGTCCCAATTTAGCATTAGCCTCGGCATTTTTTGCCCCCGGGACTAAAGGACCCTTTAGTCCCGGTTGGTAATACCAACCGGGACTAAAGGTCCCGCCTAACGGTCGTCCATGAGGCGAGGGATCTTTAGTCTCGGTGGTATTACCAACCGGGACTAAAGGTTTACCTTTAGTCCCGGTTGGTAATACCAGCCGGGACTAAAGCTTTTAGTCCCGGTTTGGGTTATTCCCCGGGAATAAAGATTAATATTTAGTCCCGGTTTGGACCCCTAACCGGGACTAATTATCCCGACCTATAATTCTGCTCAATTCTTCCTCCCGAGCCCGAGCCATTCCATTATTCAAACTCACGCCTCTGTTCTTGACTTTGCTGTTGTTCTTGCACTCTCCCCTCCATTGGTGTTGCTCTTCGATTTTGGAGGTAACAAACTTAATCCTCTTATGTTTTATCAGTAGCTTATCTCATTTTGCAATGTAGATGCATGTGTAACTTTATATGTTGGACTTTATTATGATTTTATATGTCATTTTAGCTCAAAATCACATGATGATTTGCATATATGTTTGGATAAACAAAAGTTAAATTAGTTCATCAAAATCACGCCTCGCTCGTCCTCATCGCTGGAGCACGCGCCATTCTCGTCCCCGGTGGCTTACGTGATCTTAGAATTAATTTTTCCATGAAATGAAAAACTTAGAAAATTGTTAGAAAATTGTAGAAAATCCGTACTAGTTGAACTTTGCGGACCGTGTTCATCTCGGCGAGCATGTTCTCTCTGCCGCTGATAGTAACGGACGTCAAGGAGGAGCTTTGATTCTACGAGGGAGAGCGGCAACGGTCGTGGAAGACCGTGTTCCCTTTCTCGTAGAATCGGAGCTCTTCCTTGGCCAAATCTGGTGCCGTCCGGTGGAGAAATGCTCGCCGAGATGATCACGTAAGCAAGGTCAACTAGTACGGATGGTTATTTATTGAAACATGTTTTTGAGCTATAATTTGATGGATATTTGAAAATATGAAATTTACACTAGTTTGCAAAAATAAGTATAGAAAGTAGATGACAAGCGTTATGGATCCTCGGCCTCTCGCTCGGGTTTAAACGATCGAGGCCGAACTCCTCTCATTATCTGCGGCAAGTGTAAGCAGAAGATTGTGATGGAGTACCGAGTCAAGAGACAGGGACCCAACAAGGGTCGTGTTTTCTACAAGTGCTCGGATCGCGATGTGAGTTTCTTACGTATTTTATAATTATGGCTAATTGACTCGCTTTTCTTGAATATTTTGACTAAATATTTTTGGCTTTAATTTCAAAGTGGGAGGGCAATGGATGCGATGGTTGGTATTGGGAGGAAGATTATGCTACATACGTGCAGAATTTGGGTGCGCTTGAGGTAGCGGATGCTGCTGATGAGGCAGTGAGCCAGCAGGAGAAGCTTATTGATATTCAACAGAAGAATGATTTGTCTGTTTTAGTTGCGTACGATCACAAAATAATTATGTTACTGAAGTGCATTGTAGTTTTAGTTTGTTTAGTGATAGTTGGGATTGCTTACGTTGTAGCCAGGCTTAGTTAATTAATCAACCGTGTGTGTGTCATTTATGTTGTGTAATAAAATACTTAATTATGTTCAAGGTTTTCATAATTTGTCGTGTAATACAGATTATGTCACGCCATTGGATGTACAATGCCGATCGCCGCTCCCAAGACTTTATAGAGGGCTTGCACTATTTCTTAGGTGTGGCCG